CGGTTGTCTTACCAACGTTGACAACCATCCTCCACTCATTTAGCCAAGGTGGCAGCAAGTCCAGCAGACGCTGCATTTTGGCAGTGGCTATATGGGCTCTTTTGGACGATGTGAAATAGGCGCTATCGTCCGCATATAGCGCCAGCTCAACATCGTCCTCCCATTCTTGCAGCCTGCCTGCCAATGTAGGTATATCATTGGTATGAGCCGCGTACAGGACTGGAGACAAACAGCTGCCCTGTGGAACGCCGGCTCTGATGGATTTTGCTGCGGACTCGGCGTTCTCTATGCAGACGTAAAACTTCCTGTCTTCCAGGAAAGACGCCATTAACCGCAACATAGCAGGGGGGGGACACTGATCTGCTCATGTAGTTTATATAATAATCCGGAGTGCCACACCCGGTCGAACGCCTTCTCGATACCGAGAAAGACGCCCAACGATATGCGGCCGCGATTGTACTCTGCCGCAAGCAGGTGCAGCACTCTAGTCAGCTGTGTGACTGTAGAGTGACCCCTCCTGAATCCGTGCTGCTCCGCCCGAAGTTGGATGCACGGCCGGAGACGTCTTAGCAGCAATCTTTCAAACAGTTTAGCTATGTGTGGTAATAGCGTAATCGGCCTGTAGCTGGAAGCTTTACGCCTGTCCTTCCCGGGTTTCGGCAAGACGATAATTTTGCCTTTTTTCCATTCCTCCGGGAAGTGGGATGTCCGCAATATCCCATTGTAGAGTCGACCAATCTCTACTAGGACTCTGTTGGGCAGCTGTCGGAGTGCAGCGTTGGTAATCCTATCGTGCCCAGGCGCCTTCCTCGGTTGCAGGCGGGTTACTGTCCTCCGCAGTTCAGCGGGGGGAGATGAACCACTCTCCTGCAAGAGGTGGCGCGGGCGACGACAGGAACTCCTGTACGCGGCTCTCCTTCCGGGCATGAAGCTCCATGAACTCCGCACTCGCTGGGTTCGGCATAAATTGCCCCTCGAAGTGCTCTCCCAGGATATCCGCTCTGCCCTTGGCATCATAGCAACGTTCGCCCACACTGTTGGTCAGTGGGCAAACGGGAGGTCTAGTTTTGGTCAGCTGTCGGTTCAGTTTATAGAGCGACGCATCATGCTCATCCGCCTTCCATATGCGCCGCTCCCAGGCCTCCCCTCTGTAGGCCTGAACTGCCACCGACAGCTTCTCCGATACGGTGTTTAATTGCGTTTTTAATCTAGAACAGCGAGTGCGCGCCCAGAGCTTTCTCAGTGCTCTTTTGCGCTTGATCTGCACGCTTATCTCACGCGGCAGATCGTCACGCCTTGCTGTTATCGGGACGATCGTAGAGGCCGCGTTGAGGGCCTCTTGGATGTTTTTAGTAATTCTAGTAGCAGCGGCCTCTACGTCGTCCGCTGTGCTTATAGGCATGTGTGCTGGAGGTCTCGCTTGCAGGTGTTGTGCATAGCGCCTCCAGTCGACACGTGTCTTGGTTGCTCTGGGCGGCGTAGTCACAGCCTTTGTGCCAAGGGTTATCAGAATCGGGAGGTGCTGAGAGCTCAGGTCGTATAGCACCTCTACCACTACTGGGTAGTTGATGTTCCTGGAGAGCACGATGTCCAATAAATACATCCGGATAGCTCCGTGGGTTGGACGGAATGTGCGTTGGCTCCTCGGGACCTAAAACGTCATAGTTGTTGTTTTCTGCATCTTCATAAAGTTCACGACCCGGCGGCGTGATCACTCTGGACCCCCACGCCGGGTGTTTGGCGTTTAGGTCCCCGGCGACAATAGTGGGCGTGTCACCTTCCATTATTGTCCGGATGTCTGAGGGACAAAATGGAGTCCCTGGCGGGCGGTATGCTACGTAGATCCTAAGTTCCTCGCCCACCACCTCCATTTTTATGCCGATAGAATGCATTGACTGGTATGATGGTAATTCCAGTTCCTGATGGACGATGTCCCTCCTCACCAGAACTGCCGTCCCTCTATAGGCAGCCCCTTGAGAAGTGACCTCGTCCCTTCTGTACAGGTGGTAATTGGGCAGCTTTATGTGCGTCCTTGGATTGAGCTTCGTCTCTCCCAGCAAGATGACGTGCAGATCCTGTTGCTGGGCAACTGTGCGGAGTTCATGCAGCAACGAATTGCAAGAAAACCCGTTTACTGAGCTACCCCAGAGCTATACGCGAAAGTGAGCCGCGCCATTCGCGCGCTTGCGCAACTCAATTACACTAATTTGTTCTATCACTCTCTCACGGTTTACTTAATAACTTTATTTATATAAGACATACATTCATACAATTTACTTGCATAGATAGCACAAAAAATATCTATACTACGATATACATTACATTTTCATATCACAAAAAACCTATTATTTATTTAACAAAATATGTCTATTTTACTCACATGTTCGAAGTTGAAATTTCTTAAATATTTAACATAGAAAGTTAAAACAATGTTTTCCACTTGAAATTATACATATCTTAACTAATAGTTTAATTTACATTTTCTCTATTCATTTCACTATTTAAAACACTTTCAAATTTCTTATACAAAACTATCATTATTTCACTTATTCACAGGAATTTTCACATAAAAATAAAACAGAATTCACCTTTTTTGCACGTACAATCAATCTGAAATGTTTCACAAGTCATTTTTACATAAATTGCTGAAATTACAAATATTTAAATTTTTACATATTTGGCCTCATAAGTACGTGGCTAGCGTGCGTCCGTGAACTCACACTATTTGAACAACTAACTTTTGCACGGCTATCGACTATCAGAAAAAATGGAAAGTCTAATATACACAATTCTCAAACTGTAGGAAATTATTTCTAATCAGATTCTTATCAGTTATCATGTTTCTTATCAGATAACAATATAAGTGAATGTTTTCATAAATCAATCATAGCAAATAGGCATTTGTTTTCATACAAAACATATCAAACTCATATATATAAGTTATGCAATTAATTTCCATTAATTTTATTTACTCACAAAGTGATCATCTCGACCGGGGAACAAATCCGATCTCTAACTTTATTTTAATATTCCTTTAAATTTACATCATTGGAAAGATGATTTCAACCGAGGAACAAACCCGGTAACATAATTTATATCTTAAAAATTCCCTATATGAATTTATTAAGAGATATTACTTAAGAAAACGATAAACTATTCCGGCCTGGGAGTCGAACGCAAGACCTTCATATCATTAATTCGATATTTCTTTAAGATTTAACTAAGCATTTTCTTATTAGAATATTGTTGCTTGATAATTTGCTTTTTAGAAGCTATTCGTAATCGGTTAACTTAATAAATTGAAATATTCTTATAGGCGCGTCGCCAACAATCTCCCCCCCGTGCGTCAGCACCATCATTTGGGAGGCGTCGCGGGTACTAGGACTATTATTCTGGATGTAGGTCTCCTCAAGATACCTGTGCTAGTAATGACGTCAACCACTCTGGTGTGACCGTCTGGTCCCGGTAGCGTCCTACTAATTTTGCCTTTCGGCCACGTATTTCGTGACAACGAATGATCTATTATCAAAACAATATCACCTTCTTTAGGTTCCATGAATTTTCCGTTATGTTTTTAACCCGGAGGTATAAATATCCATTTAATATATTTTTTAAATGACTCGTTTTTCATGCCCTCATAGCATTCTTTGCATGCTTTCAATAATTCTTTATTCGCAGCTTTGAAATTTGTCCCGTTATCGCTGTATATAACGGCTTGTTTTCCTCTTCTGGCGATGAATCGCCTCAATGCCATTATCATTGACGCTGGTGTCAATGAGGCTGCTAATTCCAGATGCACTGCTCTGGTGGTCAGACACGTGAATAAAACACCCCAACGTTTTTTCGTGTCGCCTTCCTATAGTCACACTCATAGGTCCGAAATAATCTACGGCTGACCATGTAAAAGGTGGTTCATTGTGAGCTATTCTCTCCAGAGGAATATTTCCTTGTGGCACGTTCTGCGGCTTTGATCTGTATGTCCTGCACCACTGACAGTGATGTGACACACTTCGTACTGCATTACGCAGGTTCAAGACATAAAATTTCCGGTTCACCTCATTCATCACCGTCTGGTGATTGGCATGTCCACAATGATGATGAACTTCTCTAATCATCATTTTAACGATTTCGTGTTTACCGTCTAATACGACAGGTTTTCTACTTTCCTCGGTCAAATTAGACTTAAAAGATAAACGCCCATTTAAACGGAGTAAGTTATCTTCTCCTATTTCCATAGATAATTTACTTAAGCGTGAACTTTCAACGCTTTTGCCTGCTTTCAAGCATTTTATTTCCAAATGAAAACACTCGTCTTGAACGAACTTCCAAATTAATAATTCAGCTTTTTTCAAGAGCGCTATGTCCAACGCGCTATCGGGTCCTTTAACCGACTTTGCTAAAACTTCGTTGGAACACATAACCGACTTTTCGGCTGCGTCGTCGGGTCCTTTAACCGACTTTCTTAAACTCTTGAATTTTTCTACCGCTTGTGAGGTGCATGTAGCTGCCCCAAGGAATTTCTTAAAGCTGCTAAATCGTCCGTAGTCGGGTAGACTTAACTGTTCTTGCTTTCTCAGTACATTTACGCCTTTAACGATGAGATTTTCAATTTGCTTCTCGTATTTCTTTTTCAACTCGCTATTTTTGTCGAGCTTCTTTTCGATATTAAGCAGGCGACTTTCAACCTGCGCTCTATTCGACGGCATGCACTCATTGTCTGTGCGCCATAACAAAGCAGTCTCGTACCTATTATAGCCTTGTTGTCTCTCCTCGACGATGGAAATAATACTATATGTTAGTATCGCTTCTTATCTCGGTGGCGTTACATAAGTTAAAAGTAACTTTAAAATTTCTGAACGCATCCTCTAGTTGCACCTCATTCGCGCCTCAATCTGTCAACTCATTCGGTTTTTATGTCGGACGGCGTTACTACGTATTAATACATTCAGCAGCGAATTAAGTTTTTTAGTTGGGGTATTTTCCTTTAATTACTTATTAAAATGAAAAGAAAACGTGACAAAGATAGAAGTAGCGACAAGATAAAAAAGAAAATAAGAAAACTTATGAAAAAAGTTAAAAAACTTTCAAAACAGCAGTGCCGTAAGTAGCTTATTATTGCATAATATAAAACTGTGTTAACCCGTAGCATTATCAAATAATACCTAGACATACAATCATTATTATTAACGTGGTTTCCTACCCAAAATCAGCCGAGACGAAATACTAACTTGTCACTACCTGTTCTCCATTAGGACGCATAACGCATTACAACGCCATTTTGTTTTGTTTTATTGTTTATTGTGTTTTCACCTCTCCGAGCAGGAAGTCCGTTTAATACATTGAACAGTATTATACCTCATCTCATATAAAATAGAATTGTTGGAAGTAATATAATAATAAATATGAACCTATCTATAGAATGTATATTTGAGTTGGTCTATTAAACAGGTTGCATTATAAGAAGTAACCAAATTAATTTTTTTTAAGTGTGTAATTCATTGGTAGCTATTGCTGTAGAGCATAGGACCATATATAATCTTATGGGACCAAGCTATTGTAGTTGCTACGGCTGTAGAGCCTAGATCTACAAAAACAAAAAGATTTTACATTATGCCATTGGTTGCTACGGTTGCAGAGCCTAGAACCCATGGTCACCCTAAAGTCAATATCAGGTTGCTACGGCTGCAGAGCCTAGAACCATAAAACATACATAAAGTCTAATATTAGACATGGCCCCTAAATTTTCATAAAGAATGTATATACATTAAGGTAATTTGTGTTCTGTTTCTTAACAGTGACATCTGAATCCGATTCAGAGGTATCTTGGCCAGAAGAAATGGAAAATGATATCTTAATAGAAAAAGAAAAACCTGAGGAATCTGAATCACCTCAATCGGAATTGCAGATTCTGGGAAACCTAAATAGCCAGGCCTCTACTAGCGAATCAGGAAATCAGCCTGATAAAGTTCCAGAGGTACAGGATTTGGATGCTGAGGCATTAGCAGTTCTGGGTGAAATAAACATAGAGCAAGAAAAAGGTCCACCTCTTTACCCTGAAATTGCAAACAGATGGACACCCATTCTGAGCAAAGGCCTAAAAAAGGAAGACAAGAGAGAGCTTATGCAAAAATATATGCCATTCGAAAATGTGCCAAGTTTAATAGCACCAACTTTGAACCCTGAATGTATCTCAGCAATTTCAGCATCTATGCTGAAAAGGGATACAATTATTAAAGAAAAACAAAAACAAATAGCTGCAGTATAGACTGCTATTGGCTCTCGTTTAGAGTCCATATTAAAGAACGGAGACAAAATAGCAATAATCCGTAACATAAATGATGCATCCAAACTATTATGTGATTATTTTCAATCTGAGACCAATAATAGAAAAATTTCAATTACTAATGCAGTTAATGACAACCTTAAAGAGACTCTAAAGGGTGACTCAGATGTGTTCTTATTCGGAACAAACTTAGCAGAAAGAATAAAGAATGCAAAAATTATACAGAGATCTGGAAAAGATCGGAAAGAAAGACAGGAGCGAATTAAGGGGCCAACAAAGACTTTAAACTGGCGGGGCCCTCCTCAGTTGAGCACCAGGCTGGGGGGGAAGAGAGTAACCAAGCCCAAAAACAAGCAGCAGCAACAACAACAGAAACCACTGCCTCCTCGACGATATTAGAGGTTCCTACACCACAGGTAGGAAGACTGCAATATTATATAAATAATTGGCAAAGATTGACTAATGAACCTGTCATACTCAATTGGGTTAGGGGATATTCAATTCCATTTGAACACATACCTATACAAAATAATTTTTCCATAAATAATAATTTTTCATTAACTGAGTTAAGTCAATTAAAAATAGAAATTAATAAGTTGTTGTCTATACAGGCTATAGAGATTTGTGAACCAGTGTATGACCAATTCTGTTCACCAATATTTTTAGTTAGAAAACCAAACGGGGACTTTAGATTTATTTTAAATCTAAAGGAACTCAATAAATTTGTTAAAATGGATCATTTCAAATTAGAGGACTATCGTACAGTGTTAAAATTAATTAACAAAGATGATTATTTGGCAACAATTGATATTAAGGATGCATATTACATGATAAGTATTAAGTTAGATCATAGGAAATACCTACGTTTTTATTTTAACAACAAACTCTATCAGTTTAATGTACTCCCCTTCGGCCTTTGTACAGCACCTTATTTTTTTACAAAGATTTTAAAACCAATCAATGCCAGGTTAAGAGAAGATGGGTTACGCCTGGTTCAATATTTAGATGACTATATACTTATTTGTAGTAATTACAATGAATGTGTTGAAAAGATACAGTTAACTCTAAAATTATTTACTAATTTAGGATTTATAGTCAATATTAATAAGTGTAGTCTCACCCCCTCACACCAGTGCAAATTCTTAGGACTAGTTTTCAACACAGAAAACATGTCTATTTCTATAACAAGAGAAAAAAGAGAAAATTGCCTTCGCTTGATCAAAAAATTAAGTAAGAAACCATTATTTTCTATAAGATTTTTAGCTCAGGTGTTAGGAACACTAGTATCTGTTTGTCCAGCAATTAAATATGGTATGTTATATACAAAACTGCTTGAGCGACATAAATACTTATCACTTTTAAAATATAATAATAATTATGAGGCACAAATTTCACTACCTAACCATTGCAAACAGGATTTGAAATGGTGGGCTGAAAAAGTTAAATATTCTACAAGCCCAATAAGAAAGAGTGATTTTGTTTTAGAAATACACACTGATGCTTCCAACACGGGTTGGGGTGCCTCATGTGCTGGACAGACGCTAGTGGGCCCTGGACAGAACAAGAATCAGAAATACATATCAATACTTTAGAATTAAAAGCTGCTTTCTTCGGGCCAAAGAGTTTCACAAAGAATCTAAAAAATATTGAAATATTGTTACGAATAGATAATACTACTGCACTAGCTTATATAAACAGGCTAGGTGGTATACAATACTCCCACTTGTATGATATTGCTAGGCAAATTTGGCAATGGTGTGAAGATAGTAACCTCTGGATATTTGCATCATATATTAACACTAAAGATAATGTCACTGCTGATTTTCAATCAAGGAAGAATATTGGCCACACTGAGTGGGAGCTAGGGCAGATGTATTATAGGAAAATAGTGCAAACCTTCGGTACACCTGAAATAGATTTGTTTGCATCTTGAACAAATGCTAAGTGCAAAAAGTATGTGTCGTGGCACCCAGACCCTAATGCAATCAATGTAGATGCTTTTACTTTATGTTGGTCCCAGCTTTTCTTCTACGCTTTTCCACCATTTTCACTAGTATTAAAAACTTTAGAAAAAATAATTTTAGACAAGGCGGAAGGCATAGTTGTTGTACCTTACTGGTCAACGCAGCCCTGGTTCCCACTGTTTAAAAAATTGTTGGTAAATGATTTTATTGTTTTCCAACCCAATAAAAAATTACTTACCCTGTGTAATTACAGATCACCGCACTCTCTTCACAAGAACCTATCTTTGATGGCAGGTCTGCTCTCCGCCAGAAATTTTTGAGCACAGGCATTGGTGAGGAAGCCACCAACATTATGTTGAATTCAGTATCAGAAAATACACTTAGGCAGTACTTACCTTACCTCAGGGACTGGCTTATATACTGTTCATCTAACAATATTAGTACAAATACTGCTAATATTTCACAAATTATAACTTATCTCACAGTAAAGTTTGATGAAGGTATGTCTTATGGAAGCCTTAACTCCATAAGATCAGCCTTGTCGTTATTGATAGGTTCTCATATTGGAATAAATGATCAAATAAAAAGATTATTTAAAGGGTTCTATAGGTTGAGAACAAATAATACCAAATATCAATTCACTACGAATGAATCAGAAGTGTTCAATTACCTTTAGCTTCAACAGATGGATACAAAGGATGTAAAATTCCAAGCAAAGAAAACAGCAATGCTGTTTGCTCTAGCAACAGGACAAAGAGCACATACCTTAGCATCAGTGGAAATTGACAAAATAAAAATAGAGAATGACAAAATTTGTATTACAATCTCCAAATTGTTAAAGACATCAGGCCCCTACAGACAGCAGCCATTGCTTGTATTACCTTTTTTTGATTTAAAACCTAATGTTTGTCCTGCTAGAGCAGTGATTAATTATTTGAAGTTAACTGAACAAATAAGAGGCAACATAAAAAATTTATTTATTTCATTTAAGAAACCCTATAGAGGGGTATCAGTAAGTACAATCAGCAGATGGATAAAAGACATTTTTAAAAGAAAGTGGTATAGATGTGAACATTTTTTCTGCTC